AGCCTACACAGACTATAGCATATATGTCTGACACACCCCCATAGGCAAAGTGGGGGAGAACAAGGGGTCACAAGACAAGTCAAGCAAAGCAAAGCAAGCTCAGGGTGGATCACAACGTCACCACACAGTCCGAGCACAAGAGCAAGGCCACAAGGCCAGTTCACATGCAAGATCATATATATAAAGGTAAACAAGCAAGTGCAGGTATAGAAAGAGTACACTACAAACAAGGTCAAGAAGTGAGCAAGTGAGGCCAATTAGGCACAAGACCTAGCATAGCACAGAAGCGCTGATGATCACAAGGCGGAAGGGCCTTGGTAAAGATATCAGCAGTGTTGGCCTCAGAGGCCACGTAGGTGAGGCGGAGCTGACCACGGTGCTGCAGCTCACGAGCAAGGAAGTAGCGAAGAGCAATGTGCTTCGTTCTGTGCTCCAGTCTGTGCTCCCGACACAAGGCCAGCATGGCCTTGTTGTCTACTACAGAATTGGAGGAGAACGAGGTGGCTCTCCGAGGTCAGTCAGCAAGTAGGTGAGCCAGCGTAGCTCCTGTGCAGCCATGGCCCCCGCGTAGATCTCAGCCTCACAGCTGGAGGTGAGAACAGAAGACGAGCGGGTAGACCGCCATGAAACAGAGCCGGAGCCAAGGCTGAAGGTGTAACCCTGTGACGACCGCTGTGTCGGCTGGTCGTCAGCCCAAGAAGCGTCTGCGTGACCTGTGAGAACCACTCGACGTCGCCCTCCAAGCACTAGCCCCATGCCCGACGTACTGCACACGTAGCGCAACACCCTCTTCGCTGCAGCCATGTGCTCTGGTCAGTGTCTCCCAAGTGCAACATAGCGTGCCAAGATGCTAAGAGGGTATGCAAGGTCAGGTCGTGTGCAGGTCATCAGGTACATGAGGCAGCCAACAAGCTCTGGGTACGGGCCACTCGGCTCTACGGACTCATCCGAAGGCAGAGCTGAGAGCGAGTGGCGAGTAGACAGAGGAGTGGCCTGAGGTGAGGAGTACGTGAAGCCGAAGCGCTGAAGGACCTGCTGCACCATGTGTGACTGAGTCAGGGTAATGGTGCGCTGTGCTCTATCCCGGGTGATTTGCAAGCCAAGGTAGATGCGCAGTTCACCCAGGTCTGTGCACGTGTGTCTTTTCTGCAGCTCGGACTTCACGTGGGCAAGTCCAGCAGTGTTAGCAGTGGCAAAGACCAAGTCGTCGACATACACGAGGATGTAGAACGGCGGCAAAGAGGTGTCGGTGCGCGGAAACAGCGACGGGTCGGCTATAGAAGGAGCAAACCCAAGAGCCGCAAGTGTAGTCCTCAGTGTGTCGTGCCACTCACGGGGCGCCTGGCGGAGACCGTAGACTGGCCGCCTGAGGCTCCACTGGGTACCAGGAGGAAACGACTCAGTGAAGCCAGGTGGGCGGCGCAGCCAGATCTCCTCGTGCAGGCTGCCCTGCAGGAAAGCTGTGCTGAAGTCAAGAGAGTGAAGCTCGTAGTCGCGCTGAGCGGCTATGTGCAGCAGCACCCGAAGAGTGGTCATCTTCGGGGTGGGAGAGAAGGTCTGAAAGTAGTCAACTCCTTGCCGCCGACTGAAGCCTCGAGCCACGTAACGCGCCTTGAAGACAGGCGGAGAACCCGGCGGCCGCTTCACCCTGAAAATCCACATGTCACTGACGATGTTCGCCCCAGGCGGGGGAACCTCGTCAACGTAGGTGCCTGTGGACTTCCAGGAAGCCATCTCTGCGTCCATGGCTGACTGCCACTGAGAGGAGTAGGGACCCTCGATCGCCTCAGCGTACGATCGAGGAGTCGGGATGTCTGGTGCATCCGGGTCTCCCTCAGGGGCAATCAGCGTGGACAGGAGATGAGGCAAAGCAGCAGCAAAACACTGGAACTCCTCCTGCCTGTCCTCAAGGACGTCCGTGCTAAGAGCACACCCACCCCCGACGGACGGAAGACAGACAGACTCGGACTCAGCAACAAGACTAGTGGCGTAGTCTAGACGACAGCGAGCAGCGAAGTCGACAAGCTCAGCCACTAAGGCAGACGCAGCAGTGGACTCAAAGGAAGGGTCAGTGACAACAGTTGCTAGCAGACGCGTGACATTAGGACTGGGAGCACGAAGAGAGTCAGACTCAGGGTCTGGAAGGACAGGAAGAGAGGACTCTGGAGGAGACGGCAACGGGACACGCAGAGGAGCAGTGGAAGGACGCAGTGCCATCTAGTGTGTGCCTGGGACCGCAGGAGGACGCGGACGCGGAGCACGACGACTAGTGCGAGCAGCACGAACAGGCGACGCAGGACGAGACGCAGCCTCACGACGCTCAGCAAGACCTCCAGTAGGACCAGTGTAGGGAGAAGGAGCAGGAAGAGGGGAGGCGGGGTGTAACTATGACTGCGACTGGACAGGCAGCGGACACTCTAAGGGAGGAGCAGGACCAGCAGAGGGCGGGAGACCAAGAACCTGCTCAAGGAGCGAAACGAAATACGGCCTCGGCCGCGCAGCGCCTCCAGAACCAGCAGGGACTGCACCAGTACCCCCAGCAGCAGCACCAGCGCCAGCAGCACCTCCAGCTCCAACAGCGCCAGCTCCAGCACCCTCAGACGCACCAGCGCCAGCAGAAACACCAGCGCCAACACCCCCAGTAGCTCCAGCTCCAGCAGCTCCAGCAGCACCAACTCCAGCAGGACCGGCAGCTCCAGCACCGCCAGCAGCTCCAGCAGGACCAACTCCAGCAGCTCCAGCAGCACCCCTAGTCCCAGTAGCTCCAGTACCGCCAGTAAAAGCACCGCCGGAACCAGCAGCAACAGTAGTGCCTCCAGCTCCAGCAGCACAGCTCCAGCGCCGGGAAAACCACTCGCGCAGCTCCTGCGGAGAGAGTGGCTCCCGCCTCGACGAAGTAGCGCCGTCAGCCACACGAGCAGACCCAGCGCCCCCAAGCTCCGCACCCCCAGGCTCCGCACCCCCAGGCTTCACACCCCCTGACTCAGCACCCCCAGGCTCAGCACCTCCAGACTCAGCACCCCTAGGCTCAGCACCCCCAGTCTTAGTACCCCCAGGCTCAGCACCCCCAGTCTCAGCACCTCCAGGCTCAGCACCCCCAGACTCAGCACCCGCAGGCTCAGCACCTCCAGACCCGGCACCCGCAGGCTCAGCACCTCTAGCAGCACCAGAGTCAACAGCTACCTCGACAGGCTCGAGTGCGTCTACGTGGGACCCACCTGACGGGGTAGGACCCTGAGGGGGGAGGGGGTCTACCGGGGGAGGACCTGGCACAAGGAAGAGCGGCGGCGGGGGAAGGGGCGCAGCGCGGTAGGGGAAGAGACGGTAGTAAGGCACCGACTCGTCAAAGGTGACGTCCTGGGAGGACTGAACACGGCGCGAGGTGGGGTGGTAAAACTGCCAACCAGGCGCGTTAGGGGGGAAGCCAAGGAAGACGCAGGGAACAGCACGGGGAGACAGCTTGTCCGTAGACAAGTCGCGGACAAACGCCCGAGATCCCCAGACCCGAAACGCAGACGCATCGCCAACCTTCCCCGTCCACCGCAAGGTGGGGGAGGTCTCTGGCAAGGAGACCCGGGGCTGAAGGTTGAGCTGATGTGCCGCGTACTGAACCGCAAACGGCCACAGAAAATGGGGGGCAGCTGCATGGATCATGGACGTACGAGCGACGTCCATGACCATACCAATGCGGCGCTAAGCAATCCCATTTTGCTGTGGAGAGGCCGGAAGCGTGAAGGTCTAGCGGATGCCTTGTGCACGACAGAAGGCTCCCAAACGAGCAGAGGAAATTTCCCCGCCTCTGTCAGAGTGCAGACGGAGAACAGGAAAGTCTGAGCCGAAAATCTCTCTGAGCTCGAGACTAGCTGCGCGGATCCAGTCGAGCAACACCTCAGGGACGTCACCCTTGCTGCACAAGGGGAAGACCGTGGTGTAACGCAAGTAGTCGTCAACCACCAACAGGAAGTAATGCTCGTGCCCTTGGCCACGGACGCGGGCGGGGCCCCACATGTCCATGTGAAGAGTCTGCAACGAAGCCTCTGTCGGAGGAAACTCGGAGGAGTGATGGGCGGCGCGCTGTCGCCCCTCGACACAGGGGACGCAGGTGGGGCAGGCCCCGGAGGTAGGGGAGGGAGAGACCGGGGGAGACCAGAGACAAGGACACGGGAGGCCATGCCTCGGAGACGGACTCAGGACCAGACCTGGACGCTGCAGCAAACACCTGACTCGACGCAGCGACCCGACCAGGCTCAGCAGCCGGAGGAGACTCAGTAGTGAGGGTGTACATGCTCGACCCCGGCCGACGGGTGAACGTGGCCAAGTGTCGGCCTGTCCGAGCACACGTCCAGTGGGTCACCCGTTGTCTCGCAGGAGTGAACTGGTCAAACCCCCTATCCTGTAGATCAGCTCCACTCACCAAGTTCGTAGAGAACGAGGGGAGGTAGAGACCTAACAGGGTGCCAGAGGGGGCTGCCGGACACGGTAAGACACTGGAGAAGCGAGCAAGGACAGGACCCCCAGAGGGGTCCGCCAGGGAGACCGCAACCGGCCGACTAAGCGGCGTAAGTGTGGTGCGGTCTCGAAAGAAGGAGCGGGAAGCACCCGAGTCAAGGGTGAAGGTGTGTAAGGCCTGAGCCGATGTAGTACCTGAGAGGGCAGACTCACCAGCACCTGGGGCAGCAGACGCGCTAGCACCTAGAGCAGCAGCCTCACCAGCACCTAGAGCAGCAGTCTCAATGCCCAAGTCAGGCGGAACACACAGGTAACAGTCACCCTCAACACTATCAGCAACAGCATACATGGCAGCAAGAATAGCATCATAGTCAAGATCAAAGATAGCAACCCCCGCCCTAGACAGCTCTCCCCAGCGAGGGATCTCAGAGGCCTCTCGGAACTGGTGCCGCCACGCGTCCGTCAGGCGGCCGAAGCAGCGCTGGGTGGAATGCGGGCCCCCGCACTGCTCACCAGCGCGGTCGTCGGTACGGAGAACGTAGGTGCAGGGACTAGTACCCCCACCGCGCTGACGCGCTGCTGCTGGCGCGAACCACCACCGGACCCACTCCTCTGCGCAGAGCCGCGACCAGCTCCACTGCTGCCCCCGCTGCCTCCGCCACCTCCGCCGCCTCCACCGCCTCCAGCGCCTCCGCTCCCTCCGCCACCGCTGCCGCCTCCTCCGCCTCCACTGCTGCCACCGACACCTCCACCCCCGCCACCTCTACCACCACCACCCCCACCCCCTCCACTGCCTCCACCACCACCTCCACTGCCCCCGCTAGCCCCTCCAGCGCCCTTGCCCCCCTTGCCCTTACCGGTGCGGCGTCTCCCGCTCGGGGCAGACGCAGGGCCGACCGACTCGAAACCAACGAGGTCGGCCGCAGCAGCAGAAGCAATAGAGGGCAAGAGGGGGGAGGGGGAGCACCCCTCAAAGACGGGGGTGCGAGGGTCACCACGAGAGGCTCCTACAGCGACTATGCTCTTCTCTGCTGCTAGGAGGCACTCCTCGAGGAGGTCGACGGTGAGTGTGGTGGGGCAAACTGAGAGGAAGTGGTCCCTGACTAAGTGAAGGGAGTCAGGGAGGCGGGTGACTATGTAGTAGAGGGTGATGTACATGGGGGGGGGGGGGGGTTCTTGGCACAGAACCCAACAGCAAGCGCAGCGCGGTAGTGAATGTCACTAGTGCGAAGGTGAGTGATAAGGTCAGCGAGTGTAGGAAAAGCAGCAAGGTCAGGGAACAGGTACGACAGCATGAGGCGGCTAAGAGTAGCAGTGGCAGGGGAGGAGTAGCGTGCAACTACAGCGTCGTACAAGGTCTTAGCACTCTTGTACTGGCTAAATTGCGCACGCTCAGCGGTCGGTAAGTGGCGACGCACAGCAAGGCGAGCAGCAGCATCGCGTGTGGCCCACTTTGAGCGAATAGTGCTGTCAGCAGTAGCAGGCGGGGCGGGAGAGACACCAGAGGTGAGATCGAGCAGAGAGAGTCCGTCTGCCCTATCGCAGTGGAGAAACAGCTGGAGGTCATCGACCCAGACCTCAAAGTCAACGGCACGGCCCTCAGCATCAAAAGTAAGGACACTGGGGGTAGCCATGACTGCAGCGGCCTAGTAGGGAGTGAGCTCACCAGTAGGAACAGCAGCGGCTCGACAATAGGGCGGCTCGGCGGCTCGGCTGCTGGGCGGCTCGGCTGCTGGGCGGCTCGGCGGCTCGGCTGGTGGGCGGCTCGGCTGGTGGGTGGCTCGGTTGCTGGGCGGCTCGGCTGCTCCGAAGGTGGGCAGCTCGGCTGCTGGGCGGCTCGCCTGCTGGACGGCTCGGCTGCTCGGCAGGTGGGCGGCTCGGCAGGTGGGCGGCTCGGCTCGGCTACAGCCTACAAAGACTATAGCATATATGTCTGACACATTTTGCCTCAAGGACGGAATATGCCGCTTTGTGCTTCAAGAACGCGTATCGCAACGTGGGACTGCTTTGCATTTTGCGATTCTTGGCCATGAAGGAGCATCATTGGAAGATATTGCGGGTTTGAAATCTGCACGTGACGTGCACCGGCACGTGGCAACTAAAGTTGCCAAATCTGGCCGTTCGTGGAGAAGGGGGGAGACACGCGTGTTGACCGCTTTTGGGACCTAGAAGGTTCTATACACCGATAAACGCACACTTAATAATCTCCACGGGGTCACCTCCAAGGGTCCTTGGGTGCGTGGTAAACCAGCCCCTATCCAAGGGTCCGTGTTTGTAGAGAGAATTACTAAGTATAACGTTAATCGAGAGTATTAGAGTAGTCCCACTCTGAGTTGCGCAGCGTTGACGATCAATTGGGTCGTGTGCAGAAATAGTTCTTCACGTCAATACGTTGATAGAGCAAGTTAACTTACCAAAGAAATTCAGAAAATATTTCCACTAGAAAGGATTGAGAGCAATCAAGCACAAGCACACGTTTTATATTTCGTCTCACATACAAGCAAAGGAAAATAGTGAAACAGTTATTTAACTGCATTCTAGAATTTCGCCTTGGTATTTTGGAATAGGGTTGCTCAACTCCATGCGAATTTGGCTTGATTCTCCTCTTGAAAATACCTGTCTTCAAATTCCACATATGAAAATTACCTTGCTGACTTTTATGAGTGCACTCATGAGTTCCAATTTTGCTCCAATTCGGCACTCATGAATTTCATGCGAGCAAAGAGTTGTAAAACGGTTTTGACCGTTGAGAAAACGGAATAACGGTTTTGTACCTGCGTCGAAAGCATTCCGCAAAGCGTTGCCACTTTCGTGCGCAATTTGTTGTTCCGTGAGTCAACTCCGAAAAACAGTTTTTCAAATGTAAATTCCCAGCACCCTTCGGAATCCTGCAGCACCCACTCGAAACACACGCGCACCCCTCAAGTGCGCAATCATGCAAGACCAGACAAACTGGTCGTGCTGTACTGCGCGTGGGCAGGGCGATCATTCGCCCTGTCTTGTTGCGACAGTGGGCCTTGCCATGCTCGCAGCAGTGCGCGAGCACACGCTCGGGCCTCAAGGCCCACACGCGAAATCACGACTTCACGCACGGTCAAGATTTCGCCTGCTTGACCAGAGCGAAAGTCAACAGCACCCCCCTTGACCAGTCAAAGTATCGAGCCCCACAAATACCACACGATACACCACTTGCTCATATATGTCACGCAAGAAACATAGCAAGCAAATGGGACTTTCATGTGAGGCTCATTTGAGCCTCATTTGACATGTTCGCATGAGCCTCATTTGAGAGCTTCGCGTGAGCCTCATTTGAGCGCTTCATGAGAGCCTCATTTGAGCGCTTCATGAGAGCTTCATTTGAGCTCATCATGTGAGCCTCATTTGAGCGCTTCATGAGAACAGTGAAACTGCAAATAAAAATGCACTAGCACAAAATGCAATTATGAATGAAAACGAAACACACAAAATGCAAAAACGAATGCGCACAGAACATACACAAAATGCGCTCACACAAAATGCAAAATGAAATGACATTTCTCATGCCACAAATTACCTTCAAACAAGACTCCCCGTTTTCTTTTGCCGTCTTCGAATATGCGGTAGGTTGACGACATTTGACAAACTCCCCCTCAACCTGGCGACTATTCGAATCCACCGACGACATCACTCGAAATTACAGCTCTCTTCATTGCTTCCGTCACTGACATAGGAGTATTCATATCCTTGCCAAACTGCTTTCCCTCCTGAACTAACTCTTTGCGTTTGCCTTTCACCAGCGCCGCCGCATAGCTTATCCCAACTCCAGTTTTAGGGAATGCACTCATCTGCTCCCCCGCAATCTCGGCTTCCTTCAAGCCCAACTTCACCTTGGGTTCACCAAACTCCTTAGCCTCATCAGCTACATAACCTCCCACATTTAGCACCAACGATTTCTCCTTCTTAGCAGCACCCTTGAGCTGCACCATGCCCTTGTGTTTCTGCTGCTCACGAGTATCAGTCTCGGGAACATCCTTCTCCTTGTCTGCAGCGGCCGCCTTAACCATGCTCCCCTTGTGAAAAATAGAACGAGAATGAATGAACTATGAGTGAAGTGGGTACAAGTACTAACCCTAATTGGGTTGTACCCCCTATGGGAGACCCCACTATAGCCTACACAAAAGCATAAGCTATAATGTTCTGACACACCCCCATAGGCAAAGTGGGGGAGAACAAGGGGTCACAAGACCTGTCAAGCAAAGCAAAGGAAAGCAAGCTCAGGGTGGATCACAACGTCACCACACAGTCTGAGCACAAGATCAAGGCCACAAGGCCAGTTCACATGCAGGAGGAGACATATATATATATAAGTCTAAACAAGCAAGAGCAGGTATATATATATGCAAGAGTACAAGTAAGGTCAAGAGGTGAGCAAGTGAGGCAAGACTGGGACAAGTCCCAGCTGAGTATAGAAACGCTGATGATCACAAGGTGGAAGTGCCTTGGTGAAAACATCAGCAGTGTTGGCCTCAGAGGCCACGTACGCAAGTCGCAACTGACCACGCTGCTGCAGCTCACGAGCAAGAAAGTAGCGGAGAGCAATGTGCTTCGTTCTGTGCTCCAGGCGCTGCTCTCGACACAAGGCCAGCATGGCCTTGTTGTCTACGTACAGCACTGGAGGAGAACGAGGCGGCTCTCCAAGGTCAGTCAGCAGGTAGGTGAGCCAGCGAAGCTCCTGAGCAACCATGGCCCCCGCGTAGATCTCAGCCTCACAACTGGAGCCGAGAACAGAAGACGAGCGAGTAGCTCGCCACGAAACAGAGCCGGAACCAAGACTGAAGGTGTAACCCTGCGACGACCGCTGCGTAGCCTGGTCGTCAGCCCAAGAAGCGTCCGCGTGCCCAGTGAGGACCACTGGACTCCGCCCTCCAAGCACTAGCCCCATGCCCGACGTACTGCACAAGTAGCGCAACACCCTCTTCGCTGCAGCCATGTGCTCTGGTCGGTGTCTCCCAGGAGCAACATAGCGTGCCAAGATGCTAAGAGGGTATGCAAGGTCAGGTCGTGTGCAGGTCATCAGGTACATGAGGCAGCCAACAAGCTCTGGGTACGGGCCACTCCACTCTACGGACTCATCCGAAGGCAGAGCTGAGAGCGAGTGGCGAGTAGACAGAGGAGTGGCCTGAGGCGAGGAGTACGTGAAGCCGAAGCACTGAAGGACCTGCTGCACCATGTGTGACTGAGTCAAGGTAATGGTGCGGCGTGCTCTGTCCCGAGTGATCTGCAAGCCAAGGTAGCTGCGCAGTTCACCCAGGTCTGTGCACATGTGTCTCTTCTGCAGCTCGGACTTCACGTAGGCGAGTCCAGCAGTGTCCGCTGTGGCAAAGACCAAGTCGTCGACGTACACGAGGATGTAGAACGGCGGCAGAGAAGTGTCGGTGCGCAGAAACAACGACGGGTCGGCAGTAGAGGGAGCAAACCCAAGAGCCGCAAGCGTAGTCCTCAGTGTGTCGTGCCACTCACGCGGTGCCTGGCGGAGACCGTAGACTGGCCGTCGGAGGCTCCACTGGGTGCCAGGAGGGAAAGTCCCAGTGAAGCCAGGTGGACGGCGCAGCCAGATCTCCTCGTGCAGGCTACCCTGCAAGAAAGCAGTGCTGAAGTCAAGAGAGTGGAGCTCGTAGTCGCGCTGAGCGGCTATGTGCAGCAGCACCCGAAGAGTGGTCATCTTCGGGGTGGGAGAGAAGGTCTGAAAGTAGTCAACTCCCTGTCGCTGACTGAAGCCACGAGCCACGTACCGCGCCTTGAAGACAGGTGGAGAGCCCGGCGGCCGCTTCACCCTGAAGATCCACATCCCACTGACGATGTTCGCCCCGGGAGGGGGAACCGCGTCAACGTAGGTGCCTGTGGACTTCCAGGAAGCCATCTCTGCATCCATAGCTGCCTGCCACTGAGAGGAGTAGGGACCCTCTACGGCCTCCGCGTAAGAGCGCGGAGTCGGGATGTCTAGTGCATCCGGGTCTCCCTCATGGGCAAGCAGTACAGACGCGAGATGAGGTGAAGCAGCAGCCAGACACTGGAACTCCTCAAGGACGTCCGTGCCAAGAGCACACTCACCCCCGACGGACGGAGGACAGACAGACGCAGACTCAGCAACAAGACTAGCAGCGTAGTCTAGACGACAGCGAGCAGCAAAGTCGACGAGCTCAGCAACAAGAGCAGACGCAGCAGTGGATTCAAAGGAGGGGCAGTGACGACAGTAGCAAGGAGACGCGTGACAGTAGGACTGGCAGCACGAAGAGAGTCCGACTCAGGGTCGGCAAGCGAAGGAAGAGAGGACTCAGGAAGAGAGGGCAAAGGGGCACGCAGAGGAGCAGTGGACGGACGCAGAGACATCCGGTGCGTGCCAGGGACAGGAGGAGGACGTTGACGTGAACTACGACCACTGGTGCGAGCAGCACGAACAGGCGACGCAGGACGAGACGCAGGCTCACGACGCTCAGCAAGACCACCAGTAGGACCAGTGTACGGAGACGGAGAAGGCAGTGGGGAGGGCAGCGGTAACTGTGACTGCGACTGGACAGGCGGTGGACCCTCTAAGAGAGGAGGAAGACCAAGAACCTGCTGAAGGAGCGGAACGAAGTACGGCCGAGGCCGCGCGGCGGCACCAGACACAGCACGGACAGCACCAGCACCCTCAGCACCTCCGGCAGCACCATCGCCAACAGCACCTCCAGCGGCAGGACCTCCAGCAGCGTCAGCAGCACCCGCAGCACGACCACCACCAGGACGGACAGGAGTAGTCTCAGAACCAACACCCTCAGCAGCTCCACCTCCAGGCGGACCCGCAGGCCCAGTAGCTCCGGGACCGGCGGCACCAGCACCCTCAGCGGCCGAAGAAGCGCCAGCTCCAGAAGTACGCCTCCAGCGGCGAGCAAACCACTCACGCAGCTCCTGTGGAGAGAGTGGCTCCTGCCGAGACGAAACACCCGGAGAACCTCCAAGCCCAGTACCGCCAGATGCCACAAGGGGAGGTCCTGTGGCCGCAGGCTCCACACCTCCAGGCTCAGCAGCTCCAGACGCAGCACCCCCAGGCTCAGCACCCCCAGGCGCAGCACCCACGCGCGCGCAGCACCCTCAGAGTCAGCACCCCCAGGCTCATCACCCCCAGAGGCAGCACCCCCAGGCTCAGCACCCCCAGGCTCAGCACCCCCAGACTCAGCACCCCCAGGCTCAGCACCCCCAGGCTCAGCACCCCCAGCAGTACCTGAGTCACCAGCAACCTCGACCGGCTCGACTGCATCTACTTGGGACACACCTGAAGGGGCAGGACCCTGAGGGGGAAGGGGGTCTACCGGGGGGGGACCTGGCACAAGGAAGTGCGGTGGCGGCGGGAGGGAAGGAGTGCGGTAGGGGAAGAGGCGGTAGAAGGGGACGGACTCGTCGAACGTGACGTCCTGGGAGGACAGAACACGGCGAGAGGTGGGGTGGTAGAACTGCCACCCAGGGGCGTCGGGGGGGAACCCCAGGAAGACGCAGGGAGCAGCGCGAGGGGACAGCTTGTCTGCAGACAAGTCGCGGACAAACGCCCGAGATCCCCAGACCCGGAACGCCGACGCATCGCCAACCTTCCCCGTCCACAGCAGGGCTGGGGAGGTCTCCGGCCTGGAGACCCTGGGGTGGAGGTTGATCTGATGCGCCGCGTACCTGACCGCAAACGGCCACAAAAAATGGGGGGCAGCCGCATGCATCATAGACGTACGAGCGACGTCCATGACCATGCCAATGCGGCGCTCTGCAATCCCATTTTGCTGCGGTGAGTCCGGAAGCGTGAAGGTCTGACGGATGCCTCGCGCACGACAGTAGGCACGCAGAAGGCCAGAGGAGAACTCTCCGCCTCTGTCCGAGTGCAGACGCAACACAGGAAAGTCCGAGCCAAAGCTCTGCCTGAGCTGGAGACGAGCTGCGCGGATCCAGTCGATCAGCACCTCAGTGACATCACCCTTGCTGCGCAAGGGGAAGACCACGGTGTAACGCGAGTAGTCGTCAACCACCAACAGGAAGTAGCGCTCGTGATCGATTCCACGGACGTGGGCAGGGCCCCACACGTCCATGTGAAGCGTCTGCAACGGAGCCTCTGTCGGAGGAAACTGGGAGGAGTGAGGGGCAGCATGCTGGCGTCCCTCGACACAGGGGACACAGGCAGGGCCAGGGCCCTGAGGAAGGGGAGGGAGGGACCTAGGGAGACCAGAGACAAGGAGACGGGAGGCCATGCCTCTGAGCCGAAGGAGAGAGGGGTGACCCAGGCGGTGGTGCCAGAGGAGAGTCTCGTGAGACAGGCAACGAAATGAACAGGGGGCAGACTCAGGACCAGACCTGGACGCTGCAGCAAACACCTGACCGGACGAAGGGACCCTACCAGACTCAGGAACTGGAGGAGAAGGAGTGGTCAGTGTGTACAGGCTCGACCCTGGCTGACGTGTTAACGTAGCCAGGTGACGACCTGTGCTAGCCTCTGTGCAGTGCGTCACTCGCTGACGAGCAGGGGTGAACTGGTGGACTCCCGCATCCTGTAGGTCAGCACCACTCACCAAGTTCGTAGAGAACGAGGGGAGGTAGAGACCAGACAGGGTGCCAGAGGGAGCCGCCGGACACGGAAGGACTGTGGAGAAGCGAGACAGGACAGGACCCCCAGAGGGGTCAGCCAGGGACACCGCAACCGGCCGACTAAGCGGCGTGAGTGTGGTGCGGTCCCGAAAGAAGGAGCGAGACACCCCAGAGTCAAGGGTGAAGGTGTGGGAGGCAGAGGCCGACGCAGTACCTGAGAGTGCAGACTCACTAGTACCTGAGAGAGCAGCCTCACCAGTACCTGAGAGCACAGACGCACTGGCACCTAGAGCAGCAGCCTCAATGCCCGGGTCGGGCGGGAAACACCGGTAACAGTCACCCTCATCACTAACGGTCACAGCATACATAGCAGCAAGGATAGCATCAAAGTCAAGATCAAAAATAGCTACACCAGCCCTAGACAGCTCTCCCCAACGGGGGATCTCCGCGGCCTCCGGGAACTGCTGGCGCCAAGCGTCCGTCAGGCGGCCAAAGCAGCGCTGGGCGGAGTGGGTACCCCCACACTGCTCTCCAGCGCGGTCGCCAGTGCGAAGAACGTAGGTGCAAGGACCAAAACTCCCACCCCGCTGACGCTGCGTGTACCACTCACGGAGCTGCTGAGGGGTGGGGACGTCGCGAGAACGCTGCTGCTGCTGGCGCTGACCACCTCCAATGCTGCTCCGCTGCGAAGCCCCACTCCGACCACCTCCACCACCGCCACTCCCGCCTCCTCCTCCACCGCCACCGCCTCCGCCACCTCCGCTCCCACCGCCACCGCCGCCGCCACCTCCGCCTCCACTGCCGCCACTAGCACCCCCACCCCCGCCACCACCTCCACCGCCACCCCCACTCCCTCCGCCGCCTCCACCTCCACCTCCACCGCCCCCGCTGGTCCCACCCGCTCCCTTGCCCCCCTTGCCCTTGCCAGAGCGGCGTCTCCCGCTAGGGGCAGACGCCGCACCGACCGACTCAAGACCAACGAGGTCGACCGCAGCGGCAGAGGCTACAGAGGGCAAGAGAGGGGAAGGAGAACACCCCTCAAAGATGGGGGCGCGGGGGTCACCTCGAGAGGCTCCTACAGCTACGATGCTCTTCTCCGCCGCTAGGAGGGCCTTCTCGAGGCTGTCGACTGTGAGAGTGGTGGGACAGACCGCGAGGAAGTGGTCCCGGACTACACGAAGGGAGTGAGGGAGACGAGTGACTAGAAAGTAGAGAGTGATGTACATGGGAGGAGGGTTCTTGGCGCAGAAGTCAGCAGGAAGCGCAGCGCGGTAGCGGGTGTCACTAGTGCGGAGGTGCGTAATGAGATCAGCGACAGTGGGAAAGGCGGCAAGGTCAGGGAAGAGGAAGGGGAGCATGAGGCGGCTCAGTGCAGCAGTGGCAGGGGAGGAGTAGCGCGCAACTACAGCGTCGTACAAGGTCTGGGCACTCTTGTACTGACTAAAGTGTGCACGCTCAGCGGTAGGCAGGTGGCGACGCACAGCAAGACGTGCAGCAGCATCGCGTGTGGCCCACTTGGAGCGAACAGTGGGGTCAGCATCAGCAGCAGGGGCAGGGACGGCGCCAGAGGTAAGGTCAAAGAGAGAAAGGTCGTCTACCCTATCGCACTGCAAGAACAGCTGCAGGTCGTCGACCCAGACCTCAAAGTCAATGGCGCGGCCCTCAGCGTCAAAAGCAAGGACACTGGGGGTAGCCATGACAGCAGGCGACGGTCTCACCAGACAGGACGGGTCGGGCAGCTCAGTAGCACAGCAACACGGCAACACAGCAGCTCGGTCGGCCTAGCAGCAACAACAGCTCCGCGGGACCAGCGGCTCGGCTCCTCAGGCGACTCGGGCGGCTCGGGCGGCGCAGGCGGCTCGGGCGGCTCGGGCGGCTGCGGGCGGCTCGGGCGGCTCGGGCGGCTCGGGCGGCTCGGGCGGCTCGGGCACTCAGCGGCACAGGCGGCTCGTGCGGCTCGGCTCCTCAGCGGCGCAGGCAGCTCGGGTGGCTCGGGTGACGCGGGTGGCACGGGCGGTTGGGTGTCACAGCGGCGTACGGGCGGTGTGGGGCCGGGACGGCGGTGTGCGGCAGGGACAGGTGGCGCACGGGCGGTGCGGGGCCAGGACGGCGGCGTACGGCTGGGACGGGTGGCGCAAGGGCGGCTGGGAGCGGGGCCGGGACGAGTGACGCACGGGCGGCTTGGGGCCGGGACGGTGGCGAGGGGCCAGGACGGGCGGCGCACGGGCGCCGAGGGGCCGGGACGGGCGGCGCACGGCGTCGACGGGCCAGAACGGGCAGCGCGACGGCGGCGTGGGGCCTGACGGGCGGCGCACGGGTGGCGCGAGGCCGGACGGGCGGCACACGGCGCCGACGGGCCGGGACGGGCGCCGCACGAGCGCCTAAGGGTGGCGCGACGGCGGCTCGGGGCCCTGACGGGCGGCGTGCGGGCGGCTAAGGGCGGCGTGGGGCCTGGACGGGCGGCGCGCGGGCGTCTAGGGGCCGAGACTGGCGGCGCGCGGGCGGCTAAGGGCGGCGCGCGGGCGTCGAAGGGCCGGGTCGGGCGGCGCGCGGGCGTCTGAGGGCGGCGCGCGGGCGTCTAGGAGCCGTAGGGTAGGTCGACAGATCGAGAGAGAGAGCCCGGAGCGCGCTCCGGGCAGGAAAAAAAAAAGTTCGAAGTGGTGGGCCCTAAGCACAGTTCCCAGAGGGGAACCTGCTCTATACCATGTGAAAAATAGAACGAGAATGAATGAACTATGAGTGAAGCGGGTACAAGTACTAACCCTAATTGGGTTGTACCCCCTATGGGATACCCCACTATAGCCTACACAAAAGCATAAGCTATAATATTCTGACACCCCTTGAACTTTGCACCGTTTTTCTCATCAGCACCGAGCACATTTCTCTTTTCAGCTGCTGAAAGACGAGCGTTGACCTGCTTCAACTGCTGCACCAGCATCTCCACTGTAGTTTTCAGCTCCTTAATAGTTTCATCAGCTACGGTAGCACACTCTCCCTTGCAGCTACACACCCCATTCTGCTTCTCAGGTACCACCTCCTTCCATGGCACCACGGGTACATGCCACAGCTCATCAAGCATGTCTTTGTCTTCATGCAGGTCCCACAACACACGGTCACCGAGCTTCCCCGTGAATGTCTCGGCTCCATTTGTTGCCGTGCAAACACCTGCAATTCCCAACTGCCTCACGGAAATGAGATTCCCTTTCAGCTCAGGCACCAGAAGCACATCTTGCAGGACGATTGGCTTCCCATCAGCTCCCTTGAAGGCTGCCTTGCCGACCCCCATCACTTTCATTTTGTGTCCGCACCCTGAACTCATTTCACTTATGCTCGTTCTCCCAATCTCATTGAGCAGGTTCGCCCTTGGGGTCATGTGATATGCTGCTCCAGAGTCTAGGATCCATGTGTTGAGAGGAGGTGGCTCTGCTCCCTCCTTTGCAGATGCCTTCTCGCTCCCCCCGTTCCCTTGCACATGAAAAAAACTGCCCTGGAGCACGCTCATGATCCTTTCTCCTTTCCATTGCGGTCTCTGCTACGTAACCAACACCGGTCTCATCTCCATCATCATCCTCACATCCGGGAGTCCACCACTTGGGCCGCTTCCAACACTTCGCCCACGTGTGTCCCGACTTCTTGCAATACCAGCAGCTACCCTTGAACCCACGATAACTGCCACGATCATCTTCTTCTTCGTCATCATTTTTGTTGCTCTGCTTCTTGTCGCCTCGTCCGCTTCCATTCTGCCCACGTTCACCACGTCCCCGGCCATGTTCCTTGCGCCACCTGCTGCCCTGCACTCCGTACTTGCCGTCACCATCATAGTTTTGACTCAGCTGCCTTCTCCTTCTCCTCCAGTATCTTGGTTCGAACCCACTCAAGGGTCCAGAGGTTTAGGTTTTGGGGAAGGCTCAAGCCGCTTGTGAAGACCATCCATGACTCCGACAGCAGTGACAACATTTTCAAGCACTTTGTCTGCTCCGGGTAGGTGATGCCCGCAATGTGTAGCTTGGCGTACAAGTCCCGCATCTTGTTAAGAACGGGTTGAATTGGCTCCCCTTCACTCAGCCGCAATGACGCCAGCTCACGCTCCAGCATGAGCGTTTGCCACCACCGACGTTGGCGCGTGCAGTTCCTTTAGCACCGCCCATGCTCGTGGCCCATTGTCAACTTCCCCCAGCAGATGCATTACGTGTGCCCTCTGGTTAAGCTCCAAAGTCTGCGACAGGAGGTAGTAGCCGGTTGACGCATGTTCGTCCCATTCTTCTTGTAGGACGGGGTCGCTCGGCCTCTTCTCATCTCCCGTCATCAGCTTCAACAAGCCGACTTGCCGAAAGTACAGCTGCATTTTCCACGCCCAATCATCGTAGCCACTGCCGTTGAACTTGTCGACAACGAAGTTCTTGAGCACATCCTTCAACAGTGAGCCCCGGCTGGTCCGCACTCCCCTTGGCGCTGAACCACCGTCATCTTGCACTCCACTGTTGTCAGAATCCCAACCACTAAACCATTGGGATAAAAGGGCTTGTTTCATTAGCGGTTCAGTGCGCCCATAACCCCCCAGGCGAACGCGCATGTAACCCTCTCCAGGATCAATCGGGCATCCACAGTGTAGATCTACTGACACCCCCCACAATGGGAGGCCCAGGACTAAGCACAGCGGCAACGGCCCTACATGTGCATACACCGGGAATTGAACCGGAGACCGCTCTGATACCATGAGAAAACTGAAACGAGGATGAATGAACTATGAATGAAATGGGTACAAGTACCAACCATAATTGGGTTGTACCCCCTATGGGATACCCCCCTATTAGGCTGTAATGGGGTATCACATAGGGGGTACAACCCAATTAGGGTTGGTACTTGTACCCATTTCATTCATAGTTCATTCATCCCTCGTTTCAGTTTTCTCAACTGTTAGCTCGTGTCACACATCCTTTGTTTCCACTCGACTCCATAGCGTTCTAACGGCACTCCTGAGAACCACAGCTCTGATACACGTGTTGACCGCTATTGGGATCTAGAAGGTTCTATACACCGATAAACGCACACTTAATAATCTCCACGGGGTCACCTCCAAGGGTCCTTGGGTGCCTGGTAAACCAGCCCCTATCCAAGGGTCCGTGTTTGTAGAGAGAATTACTAAGTATAACGTTAATCGAGAGTACTAGAGTAGTCCCACTCTGAGTTGCGCAGCGTTGACGATCAATTCGGTCGTGTGCAGAAATAGCTCTTCACGTCAATACGTTGATAGAGCAAGTTAACTTACCAAAGAAATTCAGAAAATATTTCCACTAGAAAGGATTGAGAGCAATCAAGCACAAGCACACATTTTATATTTCGTCTCACATACAAGCAAAGGAAAATAGCGAAACAGTTATTTAACTGCATTCTAGAATTTTCACCTTGCTATCTTGGAAAACGGTTGCTCAACTCCATGCGAATTTGGCTTGATTCTCCTCTTGAAAATACCTGTCTTCAAATTCCACATATGACAATTACCTTGCTGACTCAAATGAGTGCACTCATGAGTTCCAATTTAGCTCCTATTTGGCACTCATGAATTTCATGCGAGCAAACAGTTGTAAAACGGTTTTACCGTTGAGAAAACGGAATAACGGTTTTGTACCTGCGTCGAAAGCATTCCGCAAAGCGGTGCCACTTTCGTGCGCAAATTTGTTGTTCCGTGAGTCAACTCCGAAAAACAGTTTTTTCAACTGTAAATTCCGAGCACCCTTCGGAATCCCGCAGCACCCACTCGAAACAGAGCGCATCCCTCAGGTGCGCAATCATGCACTACCAGACAAACTGGTCGTGCTGTACTGCGCGTGGGCAGGGCGATCATTCGCCCTGTCTTGTTGCGATCATTGGCCTTGCTACGCTCACAACAGTGCGTGAGCACACGCTCGGGCCCTCAGGGCCCACACGCGAGATCAGGACCACACGCGCGGTCAAGATTATGCGTGCTTGACCAGCGCGAAAGTCAACAGCACCCCCTTTGACCAGTCAAAGTATCGAGCCCCACAAACACCCCACGATACACCACTCGCTCGCATCGCCTGCAGAATCAGAAATATGTGAACTGGTGTGTTTTTACTGCACTTCTGTGATGCCTGATCAGCTCAGACAAGCTCTCCGCCATTGGTTCCTACGATAACTTCAACTCGTGCAATGTCAAGCTAACCTTTATCAGCTTCAAGATCTGGAATACATATTTTGGGTCTTGCTCATCAAGGGCTTATGATTTCGACACCACTTTATGTTCAAACAGAGAACATTGGTTCGTCGGGACTTCCTCTTGTGAAGATCTGTTTTCAGGTTCTTAAACTGGTTTTAAGCTCAAGACATTAAGTTGCTCTAAGGAAGCTATAATGCCCAGGCTTAGCACAAGTCATCATCGAAGCTGGAACCTGGAAAGCAACACAGACACAAGACATGAGACGAGAACATCACAAAAAACCGGGCTTGAAAACAGGCGGTTTTGGTTAGGTTTCCTGCCCAACCAAAGGAAATCCGTCGGAACATTCTCAACTTGTTCCGACGGAATTCCACCGAGTGGCGTACTGGTATCGCCACTGTATTTTCCATCGGTTTTATATCTCAAAGGGACTGGCTGACTTCCGATGGAAAGAAGACACGGTTTCCAGCGGATTTCCACCACCATCGCGCTTCGGTAGAAATGAGATTCCCTAGCAATAAACATGATAAATTATTATACTGTACAGTCAAAACATGGACAATGTAAACGTTGCAAGACCCAATTTTATTTCCTACATATTTCATACCAATAATTATTAATACGTAGCTAAACCTGAACGATTTCAAATGATACTAATTGGCTGTTTTGCTTCATCTGAAGAAAAATGTATCTACAAACATAAATTCTGTAGTCAATAGAAGCAACAAATCCGGGAAACATGTTGCGCTACTGCAGAACAATAGTCGTCGTCTTGAATCCAGCCGCGTAGTCACTCGCATCAATGAGGATGCCGTTGCCAAACACAAACACGTCCCTGTCTTCATCATAGCCGACCCCAAGGTTGGTGACGGCATGCTCCACCCACTTCCGGCACCACTTGACTTTCTCCTCGTACAATGGCCTGTTGTAGTCGGGTTTGCTGCTCAACTTCCCGTCGGCGGTCTTCTCCAAGATCGGGTATTCCAACTGCAATGAAAGAAAAGGCAATAAGATTCTGGACAGGATGGAACAAAAAATCAAAATCAGAAACAAGGGGCTTGTACTTACAGCGAACAATGCAAACGCAATCTGGCGGGTCTTCCATACCCCCAGTGTCATGCCCGATCTCACGAATGCAGCGAAAATTCCCGCACGGAAGATTTCGCTCGAAAAAGGCCACCTCGTGTTGTCGTCTACATGCCAGCCCGGTCCCCACTCTTCTGTAAAGTTGAAAAAGGGAGTTCAGGAAAGGGTGAGTAAGGCAGGGGCGGGACAGAGATGGGGGGAAAGGAGCATGTTAGGCACCTTATACGCCCTGCCAGTGGCTCTGCCAGGCAGAGAGTAAGGCAGGGGCGAGACGGAGATGGGGGGAAGGAAAGAAGCAGGTTAGAATTTCTGTGCCTTGCAGTGGCTCTGCCAGGCAGAGGGTAAGGCAGGAGGATAACGGAGATGGGGGAAGGAGCACGTTAGGCGCTGCCGTGCCCTGCATTGGCACTGCTAGGCAGAGAGTAAGGCAGGGGCGAGACAGAGATGGGATGGGGGGAAGGAGCAGGCTAGGCACCTTCTACGCCCTGCAGGGGTTCTGCCAGGCAGAGAGTAAGGCAGGGGCGAGACGGAGATGGGGGGGAAAATAGCATTTAGGCGCTGCTGTGCCTTGCAGTGGCTCTGCAGGCAGAGAGTAAGGCAGGGGCGAGACGGAGATGTGGGGAAAGGAGCAGGTTAGAATCTCTGTGCCTTGCAGTTATTTGGCTCTTCCAGGCAGAGAGTACGGCAGGGGGATAACGAAGATGCGGGGAAAGGAGCAGGTTAGGCGCTGCCGTGCCTTGCGTGGCTCTGCCAGGCAGAGAGGTAAAGGAAGGGGCGAGACGGAGATGAGGGGAAGGAGGGCAGGTAGGGCACCATCTACGCAATGCAGTGGCACTGCTAGGCAGAGAGTAAGGCAGGGGGATAACGGAGATGGGGGGA